TAGACATACCCACTAAACTTAAGAATGTGTTAAGTTCCCACAAATCCATACCCATCAATTCAAAACCCAAACTCAATTGACATGTTTTCTTCTCCAATGGTCCCCTCTCCGCTGTTATGAACACAAACCTCAAACCTGTTTACTTAAACACAATAACTTTCTAATCCATTTAGGTGTTGTTTGGTTTGCTGCAAAAAATAAATTGCAGCAAATGTTGCCACATCATATTTTGCATGCGACATTTGTTGCATGTTGCATTTGTTGCAAGAAATCAATTTTAAATTTGTTATTTGAATATCTATAATTATTTTGTAGGAAATATATTTTCAATGCAAATTTATTGTTTGGTTTAAAAAACAATTAGTGAAAAATCTACATAATTTTACCATATAAGGAATCTATTGTGTAGATGGTTTCTATTAGATTTAAAAAGATTTATTTTGATGAGGTGGAATTATTTTTATTTTTAAATTTTTTTGAAGCTTGTAGTTTTTCCTCCCATCAAATTGAACGTGGTATTTGTTGCAAGTTTTTCTATAAAATATAAATACACTTATCTTTTCTAAATACAGATTTACAAACCTTACAATGATTGTTTTCTTTACTTTTACAACTCTATTTCCATCCAACGAATAACCCCTTCAAGAATCAAAACCTAAACCCAATTCACATATCTTCTCCTATGGCCCCCTCTCTACCCTTATGAATCGAAATCCCAAACACGTTATCTGATACCCAATAACATCCTAATCGATCAAAAGAGTCCAAATCTAGACCCATTTAGACAATTGTCTTTCTAAGAGCTACCCATTTGAACTAACTCATTGTTAGGGAATTTTAGTCTCCCCGTCTACTAGAATTTGCGCAACTCGGAAGCTAACCCACAATCAACACGATATAAAATAACCACGATCAAGAAGAAAGAATACTAAGATTTACGTGGTTCGGTTGACTAACTTCGATCTATGTCCACGGGGCAACAATACGAGAAATTCACTAAGTATCAGAGAGAACTACAAGAGGAACCACTTAACTCTCGTTTCTCAATCTCTCAACCTTACATACGTAACCAACTCTTATATTATCTCCAAAGCTCTCTCCTTACAATCTTTTGAACAGACAAAGATTGCGAAATCCTCTCCCAATAATGTAATCTTTTACCGGACAAAGACTATAAAACCCTCGCATCTCGCACAATATTCTTTTATCGTGTTACACCCTCTGCTAGTCTAGATTACAAGAATATTGGCTCTTTATCATCTGCTTGGTTTTTTCCTCCAACAATAGAAGAATATATATAGGAAAACCAAAATCCTATCTTTAGTCTAACTTTCTAATTAGAATATGATTCAAACTCCTAATCATGATGAGATACAATCTTCTAATCATGATAGATCTCTAACCCTATCTAATTCTTATAAAGTTATACAAAGAATCAAAAACACAATCCTAACAATTTCCACATTGGATTTGATTCCCAAACCCCATTGAAGATATATCATCACTGTCTTGAAATTTTGCCTCCCATGGTAGCGTCTTCTATTCTTTTACACTTCAAATTGAATCACCTGCACTCCAACTGGGACATCCCGTGACCCTACTTATCATCTGCTTTACCGTGGCGCGTCCACCTCTCTTGTGTACACCAAGAAATATTTGCCACATCTGATATTAGAAGTAAATCAACCATGCTTTTCCTCCCAAACTGAACTTGACATAAGTCTTCTCCCACTTGCTGTCCTCGTACTCCACCTGCATCGCTCGTCTCGAATCATATCGGTGCACCTCTCTTACTCCTCACTACGAGCTAGATGCCTCCATCTCCTCCATCACTTTGCTTGGACCGAATATAAGCGCCCATCATCTTCAAGTCTAATGCCACAATCTTCATATCCATGTGTGTCACTCGGTCAATGCCCGTTTGCAAGCTCCAACTAATCTGGTAGTGTCTTCCTCGAGTCTACACACCAACCAAATCCTACTCCTACGATGACTTTGAATAATTATATACTGATAACTCTACTGCTAGAATCACATCTGATTCTCTACGCCAGTCTCATCTGTCGCATACTCGTTTGCCCTATCTACCATCAAAGATCTGTCTCGTCATCATCATCAGAACTTTTCTACACTTTCTGACTAATCTGAGCATGATCTAAAAATCAAACACTCTCATCGTATTCAGAGCACTCCCTTTTGCTGTCATCTCGGACTCGAGATTTTGACCTTTCTCAATAACTATGACATCTCCTCTTACCCCTCCCTCGATTAGAACCTTCAAAAGCTAGTGCACTCTCACCACCATTAGATGCGCTCTCCTTTCCCATCATTCTTTCATTCTTATGTAGGAGTGCTGTCACATCGCCGGACTTCAAAGTCTGCTTCCCTATAATTATTATCTAAACTAACGACTTGTACGATTTTGGCAAGGAAGACAATAGGAGTAGCACCAGCTCTTCTTCTTTAATCTCCTCATTAATATTCATAAGTTGATAAACTAGTTGATTAAAGGTGTTAATGTGGTCTTGAATTATAGTACCTTCTTCCATCTTCAACGAATAAAACTCCATCCTCAAACACAATCGGTTGGTCATCGATTTTGATGCATAAATCCCCTCAAGCCTTTCCCATAGCCCCCTTGGTGTAGTCTCTTGCATAACATTGTACTTGATCTCGGGGGCGAGTGCCAAACGAATTGTGCTAACCACCCTCTTTTACATGTAACTCAATTCAACATCCTTCAATCCTTCAGGTTTCTTCTCCTCTAAAGCTTGATCAACACCCTGCTACACAAGAATATCTTAAACCGTGCATTTCCATACTACAAAATTTGTCTTGCCGTTGAATAGCGGAATATCGAACTTCGGACCCAAAGAAGTCATCATCCTCTAACCATAATTAAAATTCAAATCAGTCATTGTAGAGATTAAATTTGATAAAACCAACGTTAAAAACAAACTTAGCACATCGAAAAACCCTAGGAACGACTCCTGGATTACCAAAATCTGCCTCCAAATCCTCGATCAAAAGACAAATCAATCTGCACCGTCGGATTTGATTTAAAAGTTTGTAAGCTAACCCTCACCGCTATAGTATTCCAGCTGCAGCTACAATATTCTCTGCTACATTACCTTTTTTTTTGTTTCCCCTGATGTCGATCACCGTGCTTCGACCGCTGACGCCTTCACCAATCGCACACCAGTCAAACATCCACAAATCGTCGAACTCCATTCTGATACCACTTGTTGGGGAATTTTAGTCTCCCTGCCTACTACGCTTTGCGCAACTCGGAAGTCACCCCACAATCAACAAGATACCACTTAACCGCAAGCAAGAAGAAAGAACACTGAGATTTACGTGGTTTGGTCGACCAACTTCGACCTACGTCCACGGGGCAACGATACGAAAAATCCACTATGTATCAGGGAGAACTATAAGAGGAACCACTCAACTCTCATCTCTCAATCTCTCAATCTCACATACATAATCAACTCTTATATTATCTCCAAAGCTCTCTCCTTATAATTTTTTGAACGGACAAAGACTACGAAACCCTCTCCCAATGATGTAATATTTTGCACGAACAAATACTATGAAACCCTCGCCTCTTGCACAATATTCTTGAATCGGGTTACACCCTCTGCTAACACTATATTACAAGAATATTGACTCTCTCTCATCTGTTTGATTTTTTCTCCAACAATAGAAGAATATGTATAGGAAAACCAAAACCCTATCTCTAGTCTAACTTCCTAATTAGAATATGATTCAAACTCCTAATCATGATTAGACACAATCTTCTAATCATGATAGATCTCTAACCATATCTAATTCTCATGAAGTTATACAAAGAATCAAAGACATAATCTTAACACTCATGAAAATAATAGTTACTTTCTCCACTAAGCGCTAAGAAAAAGCCCAATGCCTTCAAGAGCCATCTCTATCAAATCATTCATATCTCTAACCATGTTTAAGCTCTTGAATCATGCCGTAGGTTCAAATAACTTTGCTAATGAAGGTTCCGATTTTTGGAGCAAATAGGATTAAGGGGGAAATGAGAGAGGGGCGAGAGGGTGATTTTGTAATTATATAATCACAGTTTATCATTAACCCAACAATGATTAGCATTTTAGACCAAAAAGAAAATGAACAGAGAAACTTATTTCAACACAGTTAAAGGGATTCGGGGATTATGAATTTGTGAGAGACTAATATCGAAAAACCCCCAAAAAACATCATATTGCTGGATCTAATTTGTAAATATAAATTTTAACAAGGACTAATACACAAACAATCTGCTCGACCGTGCGAATATCTAATAGCGGATTTCCGCGTACTAACTCAGGAATGAAGTCTTGAGGAAACGACCGGCATCAACCGATATTTTTCCTCAACAAATCATAGCAAATACGCTCACCAACTCTTTCGTTGATTCTACAAATACCTTCACCAAAACAGCAAAAAAAAAAAAAAGGAAAAAAAAAAGAAAAGAAAATGGTGGATAATTTGTTGGGTCTTCTAAGAGTTCGGATCAAGAGAGGGGTGACTCTTGCCGTTCGTGATGTTAGAAGTAGTGATCCTTTTGTGGTTCTCAGAATGGGCAAGCAGGTATCTTTATTTTTTATTTTTATTTGATTTTCTTTCATTTTTATGTGATTTTGATGTTGTTCTGATGAAATTGGGTGATGGGTGTTTGATTTTTGGTATGATTTTCATGAACCCATTTTACTTAGGAGTTGAAGCTTGTGTTTTTGTTTCCCTTGTGATGATTTTTTTTTTCAGTTTTTTAATGATTTAAGTTTTTTGGGGAATATTCCTAGGTATTAGTACTTTCAAAATGGTCATTTTACGGATCAAGTTAGAAATTTTGGTGTGCTATTTCTGTTTGACTTTTTTTGTTGTGTGTGTGTGCGCTTACTTATTTTTCTCTGGGATCAGTAATGGGTAATATATGACTGAAGTTGAACTGTGTAATTCAATTGTTCTTTTTTATTCTTTTCCCATTTCTCTGTGATTGTTAAGTTTTTATTTGTTTTAGTTTTCCAATAAAGTCGAAGCTTGTGCTTTGATGCCCTTTTGTTGAATTTTTAAAAATTTTTTGAGTGATTTTTTTTCTTTTTGAGATACTTTGTTTGATATTTCAATTTCTTACTCCTATTGCCGTATGCCATTTTACAGATAAATTTGTCATGAGTGAGATAGCGGTTACCAATGAAGTTACAAAGAAAAGAATGTTTCTGTTGAATTTATCTTTGAGTTTTTCTAAAGCAATTTCTTATATTTATAATACTATAGTTAACTTTTCCTTAAAAATATTTTCCTTGTTTTTTGTTGATGGTGATGTCCAATACGAGACAGAATATGAGCTTTTGCCGTTGCTTTTGGCTGTTTTCATTTCTTGGTTTTTTGTTGAGATGGAGTTCTATATATGTAACAGCCAGAGTCATTGACTGCATCCATTTGTCTTAAAGAGAGAACAAAATACTTTTTCATTGAGGAAAATGCTTTGTTTGCTTTTTAGTTGTCGATCAAGAATAGCGGAGAAAAAAACTTAGGACTTGTTTAATAGGTTGTTGCTGTTGTATAGAAAGTGAGAATAGTGTTGAAGACTTTGTCGCCTTTGTTGTTTATTTCTTCAGAAAAGATGGAGTACACCTATTTTCTTGGATCCATTCTCCTTGTTTCCACCAAGAACTTGAACAAAATACAACCCTCATGACATCAAATACAAGTAAAAGTAAGGGTTAATTGTGTTGTGCGCAGCGGAGCTCGAAACCACATGAACAAGAAAGAGATAAATCACAACCAATAAGTGAAACACAATATCACATCAAGACAAACAAATTTTTCGTGGTTCGGCAAGTTGCATATGTCCACGGGGCAAGGAGGGGGCAGTTCTTACTATTAGAAATCAAGAGAATACAAATAGGGTTACAAATCTCTCAAATAAACCCTAAAACAAAGCCTCTAGACCTCTCACAAATCTCCCACAATTGGATGTAACAATTCCCTCTCAAAGACTGCTCAAAACGTCCTTGTTTTACCCTAATTAATTAGGATTAGACTTATATATCAACTCAGAAATGAACCTCCAAAGACTACTCAGATAAACTCTATATCCAGCTGCCTCCAAAGTACCAAGAGAAATGATGTTCTTCGTCAACTGCGGCACAAACCTCATTTTTTTCAACTCCCTAACCACATCGTCATGCATCCTGATCCGGACTGAACCAATACCACTAATAGGACATACGTGGTCATTACCCATAAGCACGATATCCTTTCTTTCCAGCTCCTTAAAGTTAAAGCTAGAGAACTAATCCTTTCTAGGGCAAATGTGATATATAGCTCCTGAATCCAACATCCACTCCGTGGAGTCGGCATAGCAAACCGACGGTAGTACAACACGAATAGCCCGAAGAATCTGACTCTGAATGTTAATTAATAACTTTTACAACATTCACTTTTGAAGCTTGTACAGCTTTCCCCTTATTCTTTCTGATTTTTTTTCCACTTTGGACAGCCAATCTTCCAATATCCTTCTTTTTTACAATACCGACATTGATTTCTACCAATACTCTTATAGGCACCTCTATTCTTCGATTTTGAGCGGTTGTCTTGACGGCGGTTTGGAGTACGGCATCGAACTGCTAATGCATCTCCTGATGCTTTCTCGGAGGGTTCACCATTACTCTTCCTCAACTCATAATTTATCAAAGCTGAGATCACCTCATTATAGCTAACAATAGTTCTTTCATTGATCATAGTGAGAACGAACGTACCGTAATCATTCTCGGGCAACGAACACAAAAGTAGCATTGCCTTGTCTTCATCCTCAACCATGATGTCCAAATTGGCCATATCTGAAAGTAGCTTCGTGAAATTGTTTACATGCTCCCTAATGGAAACTCCCCTCTTCATCTTGAACTGGTAAAACCTCTTCTTCAAATGAAGCCGATTCTCAATGCTTTTCGTAAGATACTTCTCATTGATGTTTCCCAGATTCTCTTCACCGACGTCTCGTTCATCACGTCATAAATAAGATCCGACATCAAGCATGATCGAATAACTCCACAAACCCTACTATTCATCTTCTTCCAAATATTGTCCTCTATATCAGCGGGTTTCTCTTGTAACTCAAGAGTCTTCTCCAAATTCTGTGCATCCAAAGCATCCATCACCTGACACCTTCACAAACCGAAGTTGATCTTGTCGTCGAACTTCGGAACATCTATCTTCGTGTTATTGATGTTCGGACTCTGTATCGCCTTCGTAAGAGACGAACCTGATGTGCTTGCTTTTGCCATGTTGTCGATCTAACTCTTTAAATAGGAATCCTTCACCGAATCCTTCGAACAAGCCTCAAGCCAAACCTGAAGCTCTGATACCACTTCTTGTGCGTAGCGGAGCTCGAAATCACACTAACAAGAAACAGATAAATCACAACCAATAAGCCAAACACAATATCACAACAAGACAAACGAATTTTACGTGGTTCGACAAGTTACCTATGTCCACGAGGTAAGGAGGGGGGAATTCTTACTATTAGAAATTAAGAGAATACAAATATGGTTACAAATCTCTCAAATAAACACTAAAATAAAACCTCTAGATCTCTCACAAATCTCTCACAATTGGATGCAACAATCTCCTCTCAAAGACTGCTTAAAATGTCATTGCTTTACCCTAATTAATTAGGATTAGGTTTATATATCAACTCAGAAACGAAACAGGTTAAAAACCAAAAACCCAGCTTAGACCCGACGCGCGGTCGACCGTCGCGCCATGCGCGGTCGACCGCAAAAACGACAAAAACTTTCCTGAGTCTCTGGACTTTTGACGGTCGATCGCCGCGCCACGTGCAGTCGACCGCGACCTGATACAGACCAAAACTCATCCTCGTGCACGTTGGCGGTCGATCGTCGCGCCACACGCGGTCGACCGCACAACACCTAAAAACAGTTCTTCGTCTTTTCCTGCGATCTTCGTCGCTTTGCTCGTTATTTTTTCAATTTTCCACCTCGGCGAACGTTTCTTCCAAACTGAGCCGACACTAAGGGCCCGTTTGGTTGGTTTCCTAAAAATCAAGAAAAAGAAATCGGTACAAGGAAATCAATAAAATAATATTTTTACCCATTTCCATCCCTAAACTCACCCACAACATCTAATAAAATATTATTTTTATCTTCCAACTCATCTCATTTCATCTCCTTTCTTACATTTAAAAATAAACCAAACACAAGAAATGTGTCACATCATCCAACTCATCACAACTCATCTTATCCCATTTTTAAAAATCACACACATCATCCAATAATATTGTGACAACTCATCTCATCTCATTAAACATTCCTTTCCATCCATTTCCTCAAAAAAAAACAAGAAATTGGTTTCCTTAAGTACGTGTCACATCATCCAATAATATACCTCCAACTCATCTCATCTCATCTATTTTCCTATTTTTAAAAACGAACCAAACACAAACAACCTCAAAACATCATCCAATAATATACCTCCAATTCATTTCCTTATTTTTTTAACCAACCAAACAACCTCAAAACATTTTTTTTTTAAAATCACTCACATCATCCAATAATAAGTTGACAACTCATCTCATCTTATCTCCTATTCTACAATTTCTTTCTTTTTTAAACCAACCAAACAACCTCAAAACAAATATTATAGGAAATAGGTTTCCTATTCTTTGATTTCCCAAAAAAAATGGCCAAACGAACAGCCCCTAAATCATCCAAATTTCCCACTTGTTATGTCCAGGATGACGTGGAAACAACCCACGATAACGAACTCAATCCACAACAAGTCGGGAACCCAAACGAGAGCTCAAACAATCTCCCCCCATTGAAATCAACAAATTCAGCCGGCTGCATCGAAAAGACTACCTACGTATCTTTTTCCCCAAGGAATCAAACCGAACGTAGTTTATCCAAATAACATCCAAAGGCCCTCAACACTGAAGAATGTTCAATAGCTTCAAATAATGACCAAATTTCACACCTGAAATAACTTTGGTTAGCATATCTGCAGGGTTATCCTTCGTGTGAACCTTCTCCAATATGACGTCTCCATCATCCAATACGTCCCGAACAAAGTGGAATCTGACATTAATGTGCTTCGTGCATGCATGATAAACCTGGTTTTTTGCTAAATAAATAGCCGACATGCTATCACAATATACCCGAAGGGTCTCTTGTACAATCCCCAAGTCCTCCAACAATCCACGCAACCACAAAGCCTTCTTAACAGCTTCAATCACCGTCATATATTCCGTCTCTGTAGTAGAGAGAGCCACTGTAGAATGAAGTGTACATCTCCAACAAACCCTGTACTCCTGCCAATGTAAACACATCCTGAAGTAGACCAACGTTTGTCAAGATCCCCCGTATAGTCTGAATCCACGTAACCAATACAATCCTGCTCATTCTTCTCACTCTTCTGGAAAATCAATCCAACATCCACGATGTCTTTAACATACCGTAGAATCCACTTCACGACCTCCCAATGACCCTTCCCGAGGTCGTGCATGTACCTCGATACCATGCTCACGGCCTTTGACAGATCTGGCCTCGTACACACTATCACATACATCA